TGCACATGGTTATGCAGTAGTTTGGGTCATGAGTGAGTGCAGACAAGCTGCCTCACTCCTACTGCCAAGTTATAATTCCAAATCTGATGTGTGCAGATGATGGGCAGCCCCAGACACCTGCTGGGGAGAGCAGTGGCCCCTGGGAAGCCACTTCCTCTCTGAGTCCTGGCAGGAACAGGGGCCCAGGCTGTTTGGGCAGCAATGAAAGGGCCATGGTTTATTTGGCAATTCAGGTGTGGGGACATATGTGCATGCGCCCACTTGCACAGCCGGCCAGCTGCAGAGGGGAGTTATGAAGGATATTACCCTGATAGGGGCCCTAAAGCATAGACTCGGAAAGATGAAAGCAAAAACTGCAGAAGAGGATCAAACAGAAGGCCTTTTCACCAGGCCACAAGAGGACAAAGGTCCTACATGCAGCTTGTAACAGTATTTTGCCAACAACCCTTAGAGGAAAATGCATTTGGCCAAAGGACCAGGAAGTAAACAGCGCTGTTAGGTAGCTGTGAAAATATCTGGGAAAGGGAGGAGGTTCTAGGGGGAGCTGTCCCCCATGGTGGATAAGGTCCCCTGTCAGCACAGGGTACCTCTTATTCTGGGGCCCTGGACCCAAGGAGGTGTGTGTGGCTTGGCTCTGTCTTCCCAGTGACTACCCATTGCTGACCCAGTAGAATCCCAGGGGGCCTTGGTTCTCAGCTTTTGGCAGTTTCCACATTTGTCAACACTCATCCACCCCTGCCCCAGGTCATCTGTGTGACCAGTTCCTTTCCCTCCACTGCCCTACTTTTTGGTGACTGGAGAAATGCATCCTTCCAGTGGTAGGGTACTCCTTCGCTTGGGCTGAGCCATCTGCTGCCACCATGTGTGGGATAGGAAGGATGGAGGATACCTAGGGACTGATTAAAAAAGTTTCTCTGGAATGATCAGTATCGCCAAAGACATCATAGTGGGGAGGAAGGGACCTCCCCGCATTGCACCTGACTATACGAACTACTGGATATGGGCCACTGTCACCTCTGACTCCAAGTGCCCCCTGAAAATTGCTGAGCCTGACCACAAGGCAGGGCTGACCACAGGGCTGGCACTCAGAGACATACAGTGACCACTGTTGCTATCAGTGATGTCACATCTAGCTACCTGGTACCCCTAGTCTGGAGGAGACAGACCACCTGACTAGCTAACAGATTTTATATGTAAGGGTGGCAGAAGAATCTGGATTTGATGAAGGATGGTATTGACATTTTGTGGTCTCTTAATAGTGATCAAATTAGTGATTTCATTTCCTTTCTTCAAGTGTTTATCTAGTACCTAGTGTGTCAGGCACTGCTGTAGGAGCCAGAACACGGCAGTGAGTGAGACACACAAGAAATACTGCCTGTGTGGGGCTGTCGCATAATGAGTAGTTGATATACGCAGTGCTCGGGGGCTGTGAGAGGAAGCTGCACAGTGAAGTGGTACAGGGGGTGGGGTGGGTGGATGTGTTAGCCTCTTAAATAACAAAGTCAGGGAAGGATAACATTGGAACAAAGATAGGCAAGTAGTGAAGGGTTAACACTTCCAGGTAGAGAGAAAACATATGCAAAGCTATGAGGCGGGAGGGTGCCTGGTGACTGCCTATGGCCCATTCTCTGGGCAAGAGTATACTGGGCTCAGAGCAGGCATATGGAGATGGGTTCTGAGATAGTTGATCTCAGTGCTTGTCCTTATTACATTACCAAGTTGCTTTGGTCTTGGGCAGATTCCCTCTACATTTACCCTTGAAACCAACTGGTATTCCTCACCTTATGTTGAATAGGATATATATGTGTAAATACATACATACATATATATGTATACACACATTCTTGAGATACTCTTTGGGAGGAATAAGTATAAGCAATTATTTAATATATACAGAAGTAGTATTTGTGGGGCCTAATTTTAAAATTTTTTGCAAGACTAAAGTAGTAAAAAAATCCAAACTTTAAGAAATTATTTTGCAAAATAAATAGAAACAGTCATATTCCTAGCATGTTTGGAGATGATGGCTTCTGTGCTGTTCCTGTGATTACATGCTCTGCCTGCAGACTGTGCACCTGCTGCTCCAGAAGGGTCCTAGCAGGGCATCCTCCTCTCTCTTCTCTGGCAGTGGAGCAGGAGCAAGGCCAGGTCTTTTGGGAAAGCAGTGGCTTGTGTACTGTTAATAGGATATTTTCCCCACTGTTCTGAGATGTCATAGACTAGTCCATTGTTTAGAGCTGTCAAAAGAATCCTATAGCCAGGTCTTCTCTGGAGCTATTCCTCACAGAGGAGGCCTAGGGTAGGGTGTGGGGTGCAGCACCCTCAGCATCTATGCACCAATAGGATGCTGCCCAGTGGGCAATGGAAGGATCTGAATCCAACAAGAATGTAGCCAAGGTCGCTGCCCTGAAGGCCCATACCCACGCAGACTAGTGCCATTAGAAAAGAGAGGCCGGGACAAGGAGGCACAGAGCGGGTGCATAGAGCTACTGCTTTAAGGCTTTTTGGAAGGGGTGCCTGCTTCCTGGTGCCAGAAGGACCAGCCATCTTGGGTCTCTTCACACTTGATGCTCTTCAAGGGATACCAGCATGAGACTCTCAGCCAGAACCCAGTCACCTCTACAGCCCAACAGAGCCAAGGCTAGAGCTGGCTCACTCAGCCACCAAAACACACTTTCACACTTATTAGAAACCCTGGGAGAAAAGAATACTGGAGGAATTTAATATGTAAAGTCCTCTCCATGATGAGGAACAAAAGCGCATCAGAAAGAACTGGCAGACAAGCAGTACTCTGGGCCTCTCAGTAAACAAAACTCAGTGTGGAACTATCACACATGAGTTTGGCACACTCTAGTCTTTTTCTTACACAAATTTCCCACTGGCAGGTACCTCCACCCACCCCCCAATTTTCAGTCAACATGGAAGATATTTTGCTGGGTGAAGTCTGTTTCTGTAATGTAGAGGAATTTGCAAAATACGATTATAGATGCTAAGGGGAGGGCCTTGGATACCTGTGGCCCCATCTCAGAGACACAGGGGCACTACGTGGGGGATGGTGCACACTGGAGTGGGCATGAAGAGTTAATTCTTCTTGCGTCATGGTAAGCTACTTATGACAGTAAGCTACTAGAATTAGCAAGTTAAGCCTTTTTGGAAAACGTTAAATTTGTAAAGTAATAGGTTCAAATGATACTGGGAATTAATAGGTAGGAAAAGATGTACAGCAACTTAGAGACATAAAGTATTCACCAACAGGAATGGTGCAGTACCCCAAACCCACAAACAGGAAAAACAGACTGAGATCTCAATAGAAAAAGAGAACAGTTACATGTTCCCACTTTCAGAGGGTATCTGTACAAACAGCAAAATGCACTGAAACTCTAAGAGCCCACAGCGGAGCCCTTCCCACCTCAAGTTACTCTTCCAAGGGACAACCCTGTGACACTAAGGGTGCAAGATATTGCTCTGTGGCATACCCTGGAAATCATATAAAAATAATTTCTATAGTTCAGTTTAAACTTGCCTTGTAAAATTTCAACAGAACAGTGCATAAAATCTACAAACAGAATACACTGAAAAACACCCACCCTAGCCAACGTGTTAAGAAAATCATTAATACAGGTAATGCATGCATGTGAAGGGAATGTGAAGTAAATTTCTGAAATAAACTCCACAGGGGTTTAGAAATATCTGGGTTCTTCTGGAAATTTGCTGAGAGACACTGTTTTCTCAGAGAAATCTGGCCAGATAAAGTGGGGATACTATTTGCTGCTGGTACAGGCAGTGAGTGTCTCTCACAGCTGAAAAGTCTCTCTCGGGGCTCGCCATCTTCCCTTCTCTGCCTCACAAAGGCCTGCCAAGCCAAAGAGGAGTATGAGGTAACTTCTTACTCCACATGTTCCTGTCTCAAGCTGATAAGCTGTGATGGTGATTGGTAGGGAGCACACCTGAGGACTATGGAGTAGGCTGTTGGTGTCTGGGAACTGTGTGTTCCTAACACTGTGGCTTCTATCATTTTCATTGTTTTAACACTGTTTGGAAGGTGGATATCTCACAGAAGGCAATGGCCTGTCTTAATCACGTGGACTGTTTGGAGCAGGCCTCAGCAGGTGCTGCCTTGTCTAGTCCATCTGTGACCAACTTGAGAAGCCTTTCATTCTGCCAGAGGAGCAAGGCTGTGAGCTCCAGCTGTGCCCTGGCTCTTCTGTGTGGCACACTTACCACACTGGGGGTGAGGGAAGTGACTCAGCCATGAAGGAAATAGAGCCTTCCATTTTTTAAGAGTACCTATCCAGGACTGATTGGGGGTTTTTCCTCTCTGACGATGCACTGCTTTAATTCTCAATTTACCCTATTTATCTATCTACTTATTTATTTTTAAAACCTGGCAGAGAGCACGAGAAAGATAAGAGATTTGCATAGGCAGTTTTGGAAATTTCTAGTTGGCTGTTTTAATATTACAGTGGGAGAGACAGACATGAGTTTCTGTCTCTTTGACTTGTGCATATGGGCTTAGCATCTAAATAATGCACACTGAAGCAGGCTGCTTTGAAGGAGGAGGAGCTGGAGTGGGTGGTGGAGCTGGAGTGGGTGGTCACTACGCTGGAAGCAGCAGGTTCTACGACCCCATAGCTTTGGAGGGTGAAGCAGCCAGCCGCTTAGGTGACGTAATCAAAAGAAGTCAGTCCAAGAGAAGCTGCCACAAACCCTCTCAGTGAGAGAATTCTTTTCGTGAATTTTCTGAGTCACAAAAGAAACCCCAGTACAATTAGGGACATAAATATTAGTAATTACCACACATTTTTAAAGTATGTTGTTCAGCATGAAAAGTAAAACTTTGAAAAAACTTAATTTTGATTTAAGGAACCGTTTATGCAAAAACTTGAATAAATTATTGAAAACTCCACAGGCTATGGAATAATTAAAAACAGAAAGGAATTACAGGAGATATTCAGTTATTTTATTATCATTTTCTAAACAAGTAAAAAAAAATCCCCTCCCCATCTTTTTAAAATTTTTATTTTTTGCTTTTGCTGCTCTGGATGTCAGGGGATGAAGCAACCTCTCAGGAGGATAGGCTGGCTCCAGTGACAACCTGAGCCACCTTCTGCATTTTCTGAGGATAAGCTGACAAGGCAAGATGCTTTCTCCTGTTTTGGGGTTACCAGGGCTACGCTAAAGCTCTCATAGGTAGGAAAGTATTCTTTTGTTAGTGAGGATTTTATCCATCTTATCCGTATTTCCTGGAAGCAGGCTCTCTTTTTATTGAAGCTGGTCAGCTCTTCAGGCTCCTTGGCCAGAACAGTGGTCTGCAGAGGTAATCTTGGAAGGAAGAGGCTGCATATTGCTGCTCAAAACAGGGTAGCTAAGGACACATTATTTTTTAAATTTTCCTCAAGAAATGTAGGAGGCACCAAAAAGGAGACTGCTCAGAGACTGGGCTGCTCCCTCAATGTGGCATGGAGCCAGGGACAGGTTCGCCTGCCCTGTGGAGGGGGCTCCACCAGCAGAGAGAACCCTTTACCTGGCTGAATCCAGACAGATGCAGGTGGCGTTGGGGTGGTTTCCTTCCTTCCCGGCTCCTCCTCGCAGACCTTTCCCTAAGGAAGGAGGCCAGGCCGGGTTCAAAGCAGCCCAAGGAGGGCTGACACAGTGACCGAGGGGTCAATTCTGTCCCCTCTCCTGGGGCACGGATGTGATGTTATCTCCCAAGGGGCCCTCCAGCGACAGCTCACACCGTGTTAGTATCTTCAAAGGAGAAATATGAGCAGGCTCTTACTTTGGCTCCTACTTGAGGACCCATCCGAATAGAGTTCAGGGCCCTGCTTTCTGGACCCCAAGTGTCTTTGGGCAGCTCCTATCACCTGAGCTGCCCAGCACCGGGGAGCCATCACTACACCTCACCACGCGCCCCAAGAGGTAGGTTGTCCAGTGCCCCTTCTGTGGTCGCCCGCGGCTTGGATGGCAGTGTGAATGATGCTCCAGCCGAGGGCTGTGGGAGGATGTTTTGCTTATGAAATGGAGCCGGGGGTTCCTAAGGGCCAGACTGAGCACTAGAGCGTCAGCGGGTAGCAAGATTCCTGCTCCAGGTCTCCAGGGACCCAGATGGGAAGCGGGTGGGAGCCGCGGAGGGAGCTCCACCCCAGGCCGGGCTGCATGTTGCTTCTGAACCCTGGGTGCTACCAACCGCACGCAAGTGACCGCTACCTGGAAGAGGTCAGTCGCTAGGTTAGGGAAAAAAAAGCATGTAAAACACTCCCTTCTAAAAACAAAGGGCTGCGATTTTCTTTATTTCTCGTATAGAGGAACAAAAATACTCTTGCAATGGCTATTGAGTTTCCACAGGTACGAGGCAGATGCTAGGCTAGCACACCCACTTCCAACAGTATGACTTGTTTCCTATCCGTCTACTACCTGAGTGGCGTCAGTGTAGGTTCAGGCACCATTAGGAACGTTTGACCAAACACATACACGGCACTGACCGAGGAGGCGACGGCCCTTCGGTTGACCAGAGCAGGTAAAAAAAAAGACACCGACAGAATGGAAAAGCAGTCCGGGCACTCAGGGCCGGGCCGCGCGCGCCTCGCGCCGCCGCCGCAGCTCCTCGCGGTAGCAGTAGGAGCAGAAGTGCTCGGTCTCCGCCCGCCCGTAGAACGCGCAGTTCTCGCGCAGACAGCGGCGCTGCGCGGGCCCCGGGCCTCCGCGGCCGCCCTCACTGTTCGAGCGCGCGGCCGGCGCATCGGCGTCGGCGAACTCCAGCCCGTCTCGGGCCGCGCCGAAGCCGTTGGTGTAGGTCTGCGACTTGTGCTCTGCCGGCCCCTGGCCGCCCGCACCGCCGGGCATTGTGGTGGGCACTGCGCGCGCCAGCGACTCCACCGTGTTGACCGTGCGCAGCGCGGCGCGCGCCGGGCTATAGCTCTGAGACGACAGAGAGCGGTTCTGCTGCGGGTACGTGGCGCACGGCCGCAGCGCGCCCACGGCCGGAGGGCACGCCTCGTCTCGGGCCGCCGCCTGCATGTGGATGACGCTCTGGCGCCGGGCATTGTGGTGGGCACTGCGCGCGCCAGCGACTCCACCGTGTTGACCGTGCGCAGCGCGGCGCGCGCCGGGCTATAGCTCTGAGACGACAGAGAGCGGTTCTGCTGCGGGTACGTGGCGCACGGCCGCAGCGCGCCCACGGCCGGAGGGCACGCCTCGTCTCGGGCCGCCGCCTGCATGTGGATGACGCTCTGGCGCGCGGGCGCCGGCGGGCTGCGGCCTGGGGCGGGTCC